ACAGATGAGATACTAAGTTTTCTTAATGAGGGGACAATTATAATAGCAAATGACATCCTAGCCTATGTCTTTATAATTTATAAATAAGTAATTTTATATACATTACCCCATTTGATCCTCACAAAGTATGAAGTAGTTATGACAGATATAATTATCCCAATTTTTATACAGGAGAGGACAGAAAGAAGAGGAATTGGTACAGATACAGAGAATGGGTGGCCACTCATTTATCTATATATTCATTCAAAAATCATTCATGAATAATCACATGTGCCAAGATCTGAGAGGATACAGCAATAAGCCAAATCTTTACAAAACCCATAGCTTAACGAAAGTGACTTGACAGTTACAGAGATAATAACAATAAAATAAGGCAAATGTTATGATGTGGATCTCTGAGATCAAAGAGCAGGACGCTCTGTGTTCAAGTTTGCAGAAGTTTCCTTAAGGAGCTTATATTTCAGCTGAAATGCAGGGATGAGTAAGGAGGAAGCCAGAAAAAGCAGAAGTGGAGACAAGTGATCCTCTGGGAAGGAACATTGTGCCCCAAGGATGAGAGCTGAGGAAGGACAAATAGTACTTATCAAGAAACCAAAAGAATTTTGCATTCTGAGTGTAAAATGCAAGATGGAAAAAGCAAGAGATGAGGCTAGAGAGTTAGGCAAAGGACCAAAGTCACATAAGACCTTGTAATTTATCTGAAGGGCAATGACAAGACAAAAATTAGGACAGCATAAAAAACTATGATAGTAAAACATTTTGGAAGTCAAGAATCAGGGAGAGTTGCAGCAATATAGTCAATCACATTAATCATACAAAGAAGTCAAAGAATCAGAGAGCTGAGAGTAAGTCATTTGAGATGTCATAGATAACCTTAACATTTTTAGTCTGTCGGTAGAGATGGAACACAAGCTCCATGTATGATTGAAAGACAAAGAAGTAGAGGCAAAGGGTGCGTAGACTATGGTTTAAAAAGTTCAATCCCCCTATTGGTAGAGCTGATAGCAGAGTCAAAGAAAGCTTTTTCAAGATAAAAAATTTAAATGTGCTTGAAGGCAAGAGGGTAAGGTTGAGTATAAAGGTAGAAATTAAAATGTCATGAAATCACTTAAGTTTACGGAAGTGGTAGTGTATGGTTACTATAGTTATAGTGACTATAGCATTGTTACTATAGTCAGTAATACTTTATTGCACATTTGAAAGTTGCTTAAGAGAGTAGATCTTAGAAGTTATCATCATAACAAAAATCAGACTATGAATGGTGACAGGTGTTAACTAGACGTGCAGTGACCATTTTGCAGTATATACAAATATTGAATCATTATGTTGTACACTGGAAACTAAAACAGTGTTACATGTCAATTACTATCTAAATTAAAAGATTAAGGAAATGGGATACATGGTTAGAATTCCAATGAAATGGTTAGGTGAGCAAAGCGGCTCAGTAAAAGATCTGTATGTACATTTTTAAAGCCCTAGTACTAAAGTCAATCCCCAATTGCCCTCCCCCTGGCTACTTAATCTATAATAACACTCCCAAAAAGTTTTGTCTTTGATCATTGTTCTGTCTGTGGTGGGACACTTTCCTGTTGGACTGAAGTCTTTATATCTCTCTGAGATGATGTTAAAATCACATTAAGTATTGTTCAGTCACATATCCTTGGAATACGGAAAGACAGTATAGAAAATAAATCCTGACAAAAGAATATGCTCTCCTTGATTCCCATGAAAAGGGGAAGTGCTTCTGTGCCATAAAATGGGTGTGGAAACATCTTCAGAATTTCAGGTGGATTGAGTCAGGCTGTTTTCTTTCATTACTGCAGCAGCCAAAATGGAAAGTTCTCAGATCCTCATCTTCCAGTAGGACATGATTAATCATTGAACAAAAAGTAGAGATTTTTCACAGGCCTCGGCAAGGAAAGTAAGCCACCTAATACTTCTTCCCAATGTCACCCACACAACAACAATAATAAATGCCAAAATTGGAGCATTTCTTAGACATTTCAGTGGATTATGGAGTCAGATACATGGTATGTCCCACTCAAAGTATTTGAGGACCTCCTACATCCATAGGTGCAGATTCTTCTCATGCTGACATGGAAAAGTTGAGGACAAACTTATGTCATAGGCAGGCCACAGGTAAAGGATATTAGAAAGAAAAGTGATATGTGTGCAGATGCTACAAAGCCGGGTATAGAACTCATCCAGAAGACTCACACAGTATTCTCCGTGTCCTCAGTGTAAGCACTGGGCCAAGACCAACAGTGTAAATTTAACTGGCACAAAAATTAATTTCTACATCTAAGATAAATGCCATGTTGCTCATGAACAAAGTAGAAGCAACCTGAAAAAAAGATCTGGGTGTTTTAGTGGACCACAAGTTTAAGATGAGCCAGCATAACTACTAACAGCATTTAATGGCACGTTAGGCATACTAATGAAGAACAGTACTTTCCTTAGGAGAGCATATTATCTCCCTAAACCCTGTACAGGTCAGCCCCATTCTGAAAGGCTTTACTCCAGCTTAAGTATAGCGATGATTGGACCGTGAGCCGGGCAGAGCAGCCACGATCACACTTCTATACCAATTTACAATATGTAAGACTTTGACACACTCTCTGATATTCATTTTCATCCCTATAATCCTATGAAATAAATGTTATTATATTCATTTTATAGATGGCCATGCTGAAATTGAGAGGTACTAAGCGCCTTGACCAAGGTAGCATGGTTAATAAATTGTAGAGCCAAGTCATTGATTCCTAGACCTCCATTTTCTCCTTCGTAACAATGGTGGTCTTTGGCCTAGGGAGAGCAGATGTAGGGGTTCATGCTAACACTCTTCAAGCATTGGAAGGACCATTATGTGAGGAAGGAAGTAGACTTACTCTTGAGTGAGACGGCAGATGGACGTTAAGAGAACTGGAAAACAGCCAAGACTGGCTGACTGTCATTGAAAGAGTAGAAAGCTGAAGAAGGAGAATGTAAGACAAAGCTAATATAATTAAAAAGGGTCATTAGACTAAACTGTGTCCCTAATAAATCTTGGAGTTTTTTTAAAGCTTCAGAGAAAATTCCTGGACAAAAACTTGTACAAATTTTCCCTTTACTCTCATTTTTCCTATAAACCTCTTTTTTTAAATTTTGAAAGCAGAAGTGGAAAAATTAGAAGATATATTAACAGTGACGATGGAAAAGGAACCTCTGATAGTGCCATCTGGCCAAAACTTTAAGATTATATCAGCAAAACCTTTTATGGAACATACCAGTTACTCCCCAATCCATGGGAAGAAGATGGGGAATAAAAAGTAATGAAAGTCCAGTCTTTCTTCAAGACAGAGTTTGGATCAAGCAGTGCTAGATCCTTCCACACTCTTAAAATTCATTCTGATCTTCAAAATATATAAAATACCCAGTCAGCATCTTCCCTGTCTATCTAATCCCAGTAAAGCAGAATGTCAAAACATAGTAGAGAAGGCACTGTACTAGCAGTCAGAGACTTTGCTTCTAATCCCAGCTCTTCTAGGTCCTTCATGACTGGCCTCATGCAGGCTGGCACACAGGTTTATTCTAGGCAATGGGGCTTTCGGGCTTGTGGTCCCTCATATGGAAATTATGAGCATACACTGTAACACTGATTAAGAGCACATGCTTTAGCAACAGACATGCCTGGGGTTAAGCAGCTCCCTGCCACTTGGAATGTGTCTCATCTTGAGCACTTTCCTCTAAGTTCAGTTCCTTCAGATGTTAGTTAAATGAAGAATATGAAAATGCATATGAGAGTGTCATGTAAATTACTCACTGGCCTTAATCCCTGTGTTTTGGAGAAAGCAGATTTCGAAAACTTCCAAAGGTAAAAAGAACTCGATGAATTGCAATTGAAAGAGGGACAGTGAGCATATCAAGAAAAATGGGAAACTATCAAAAGGAAATCCCAGTGACTGAAATGGAACAGCATTTCATCCAGATGAGCAAGTGAAGGCATATAGAAGGATATATGCAAACAGCTTTTCTGATGGGCTCAGACCCAAGAGTGTATCAATACAAGATGAGAGAAGGGGGTACATAAACAAGACAATTTCAAGACAGTGGCACAACCTACCATAATAGAGCCAAAAAAACTACAGCCTGGAATGAACTAAGGTGTGTGAAAAAAGGAAATTCTGAAGCAAGAAAAAAGACTTACTTTATTTGTGGTTTTGGTTTTTGCTTGTTTGTTTAAAGAAACTAACAAGGATAGAATAAGAGCCTGAGTCACTGGGCACAATAGTGTCATGTTAACTTTTAGGACAAAGAAACCCCAGTTTCTCAGGACCAATTTTGCTTTTCTCCAATTTCTGTCATAATATTTATTGAGCTGCCTGCTGTGTGTTAGGCATTGTAGCAAATGCTGAGATTTTATACTGAGGAGATATAATCCCTTCTGTCAAGAGGTTGATAGTCCAGTAAGAAGATAGGCATGCAATTAAATAAATATAAAATTATAATAAAATATACTAAAATAATTATAGTAATTAGAGGTGAGAAAGAAACCCAGGGGAAACATAATTTAAAAACCACCCAAATCTGCCCTGTGGAATCCAGAGGAGGATTCTCGGAAAGAATAACATTTAGCCTGAGACACCTCAGTCAACAAAATGCAAACTGGAAAGGTAGCACAGATTAAAGATAAGAATATGCTACAACTTCTGGCCATTTCAAATGCATTTAGCTCTACTGACTGTGTTGAATACTCTCAATTTGTTGTAAAAAAAATTTACAAAGATTTCTTAATGCCTGGCAATTTTGGAGGCAGAGAGAAACAGAGAAGTTCCAGAAGACTAAAAATTGATAAATGTTATTTAGATTTACAGTTTTAAGATGAAGAATTCAATGAAAGACAGCATTGTGGACTGCTTGAAAGAAGGGGCTTCAGGTTTAGACTGCTAAGATAGAACTCAGGCTCGCCTCCTTACTGATGTGTGACCTTAACCAAGTTATTGATCATCTCTGTTTTTCAGTTTCCTCATCCATGAAACAGGAGAATAAGAGGATCTGTGCACAGAAGCTACAGTGAGCATTACATGGAATGTGCTTAGAAGAGTACCCAGCACAAGGTAAGCTCTCGAGAACTGTGAACTGTTGTATAATTCTACAAACTACAGGCCAAAGAAGTTGGCCTTCATTACACCAAAGATTCCAGAATAGAAGCTTTAAAAGACCAGTACAGAAAAGGAAGTGGTGATATTTTAGGAACAGGCTGAGTTCACTGACAAGTCATTTTGGACCCCCACACATTTCCTCTTTTAGCATATGTGTTTTGCTGGCATGCAGAAGGGATTTTTTAGATCTAGCACCTATGGATTTTACCAGAGAATTTTGCCATCCATGTAAAAAAGATGGACAAGTGCATGCAAGTCTACTGGGTGATGGCCATAGTAAGTGTCAGCTAAAGCATCTTATCCAGTACCCAGGAAAGAGGGGTGCACAGGAGGCTTTTGTAATACACACAAATGAGAAACCATGCTGGACACAAGAGAAACCAAGTAAAAGCATATTCCTGTTCTCAAGGACGTCACAGTAAATTAGGGAAGAGATGTTTATATAAATGCTTACTATAATAACAAACATATACTCCATACCATAGTGGCGTAGAGGATTGAAGATAGACATAGTGGCACAGAGGACACTCAGTCCTACTTAGGTGATTATGGAAGCAGGAAGATATCTGAACTGATTTTGAAGGCTGGTTTCTTGACCTTGTTAAGTGGTATCAAAAACACATTATAATGTTATTTAAACTACCAAAGTGCATCTGGCTATTTTAATGAAAATAATTCTATTTACTGCTAAAACAAAACTACCCAAAATAATGACCCAGCTGTGGTGGTTCTAACTGAAACCATCATTATGACAACCACGTCATATTGGTCCAGATCTGTGTTTTCTTACTATTGCTCCTCTGGCAGAGCCTCCGCTCCTCTTGTTGCTTCTGCCCCTGCAGACCACCCTTCACCCCCGTGTCCATAGCCCCATGAATGGTCTTGCTCTGCCTCTCTCACCATGCCACCTGAGCCACCTTCTCTGAAACAGGTCCCATGAAGCCATAAACTTCTCAAAAATCCCCTAAGTAGTAAAGCAGTGCTAGTTCCCTGGACTAGCTCTCTGGCAGCCGGGGATTTGGTGACCTTTGTGTCCAGCGTCAGTCCCTATCGTATTTCCACACATCACCTCACCAGGCCGTGGACCACGCATGCTCTCTCCCACATTTCTGTGGAGGCTGTCTCCCACATTTCTCCTCTGCCTGGAGGTCTGCCTCCAACTCTTGCATCATGCATAAATTCAAACACTTCCCCTTCTCTTTGCCTAGAATCTCATTCCTCTGTTATAACCCTGTGCTTATCATAGCACTTGCTTCACTCTTTGCTGGTCCTGGATAGTCTAGATGGAAAGAGAACTGGGCCAGAATTTGGACAATCCAGATTCCAATTCCTGCATTACTGGTAACCTCCCTGTGTCTCATTTCCCCATCTGTAAATGAGAGGCCTGGGATTTCTCACAGACAGTCCCCAATTTACAATGGCTTGATTTAAGATTTTTTTCAAGTGACATGCATTCAATAGAAACTGTACTTCAGACTTTGAATTTTTATTTTTCCCCCCAGCTGGCAATATGAGGTGTGATACTCTCTCATTCAGCCATGCCATCATGAGGGTAAACAATCCATGCATAAACAATCATACTGTCCCCATACAACCATTCTGTTTTTCTCTTAGTATAGTACTCAACCAGTTACATGAGATATCAACACTTCATTATAAAACAGGCTTTGTGTTAGATGCTTTTGCCCAGCTGTAGGCTAATATAAGTGTTGTGAGCACATTTTAGTGTAAGCTGGACTAAGCTATGGTGTTTGGTAGGTTAGCTATATTAAATGCTTTTTCAACTTAACATTTCCAACTTAAATGGGTTTATTGGGGCATAACCTCACCGTAAGTAGAGGAAGATCTGTATCTTTGTATAAGATACCTCTTAGCTCTATTATTCTGTGATTTGAATCCATCTATCTCTCTTATTAGATGTTTCTTAAATCACACCTTCTAAATCTTCATGTTGCCTGTAGCTCCAAACTACACTTTATACCTAGGAAAAGCTTGGTAAATATTTTGTGGAGTAAATGAGTGAATGAGTGAATGAATAATTTGATATTCTCTTTATATGAAATAAGCTGAGTCACCATTGTTTGTATTGATATGCCCTCCATTTAACTGTTTCTAGAGAAGATCTCAGAAAAGACAACTAGTGAGAAAAGCCAGAGTAACTAAATCTTTTCAATATGTATCATTTCAAGCACCATGCAAATATCAGTATGCAAATATATGAAGTGTGAAAAGGCTGAATATGTGCTTGGTTGCTAGAAAGAACTCACTGAAGCTAAAAAGAAAACAGAAATTTAAGATAGAGAAAAGTTTACCTAACATAGCTAGTTTTAAGCCAATAACACAAAAACAATTGACATCTATTGAACTTTCTATTGCCAGACACTGAGCTGAGCTTTTTCTATGCATTCTTTTCATTTTAGTCCTTAAGCTCTCCTATACAGTTGGAATAATTATCCTTACCTTACAGATGAAAACACCTAGCCCCAGAGAAGTTACACAGATTGCTCAAGCTCATGCAAAATATAAGAGCAGAATTAGGAATTAAATTCAGGCCTAAATAAATCGAGACCCGTTTCCTAACCGCAGCACTCAAGTGCCTCCCCTGAGATGATACAGCCTAGAAAATGACATATGTTTTTAAATATCTTGACAGCATATCTTAGAGAGTTGACAGGCTTCATGCTGTTGAAAAGAAAGACCCATTTACACTAATCCAAGGGTGGTTTGTTAAAAAGATCTCTAAGGCCTGAAACAGGAACTGAAATTATGTCAAAACTAGAGTGTCTCTGGGTTGTCAACTGTTTTCAACGTTTTCTTTCCATAAAGTTGCATGTTCTCTCCCTCCCTCTCCTGTTCATACTGTAGTACCTGCTTTTCCTATTACATCAGCTCTATTATTCTGCACATCAAGAGCTCCATGGCATCATTTTAACACTGCGAAATGATACTTTTCCTCCTATGTTCTAGACCAAATTCCTAAGAAATGGCACTTTTCCTCCTATGTTCTAGACCAAATTCCTAAAAAAGAGAATTAGATGTGCCCAGCTCATTTTTTTGCTGGCTCATACTATGTGTGTCCAGCACTCTGTTGGGAAAAGGGTACACTGACCAGCCAACATTAATACTTAGTCAGCTTGCCAGGTAGATGCCTTTCTCTCCCTTAGCCTGAGGTTACCCTCTTTCTGCACCCCTCAACATTTCTCTATTCTTCACAACCAAGTTTCTACAAAGAGAAGAATAACTTTATTGTTTCATTCTCCATTTACTCTTCATCACGCAACTGTACTACCCATTTGTTTTTCAGTCTTTGAAATTGGGATTCTTCCCCCCATTATGCACTGAAAACAATCCTGCTGATGTCACCAACAATTATATACCAGCAAAATCCAATAAGCAATTTCCAATATCATAATATTTGATTCCTTGCAGCCTCTAGCATTGCCGATCACTCCCCCTTCGTGATTTCTCATGGCCTGTTTCTGTGGACCCACTCTCTCCCAGCTGACCTCACTTGTCTCTGGCTGCTGCTCTGCAGGATTCCTTTCCTATGGCTGTCCTCAAATGTTGGTCCCCCTGCAGGTCTGAGTTATTTCTCCCTTTTCACCCTAAACCCTTTCTACAGGATTTCATCCATGCCAGCGACTTTACCTTAAAGGTTGTTGACTTTCAAATATATATCCTATCCTGTGTGACTCCTCCCGAGTTCCAACTGCGTACTAGTAATGCCCACCTGGATATTTGGATATTCTACAAATAACTCAAACCATACACTTACAAAAATCAACCCATTATCTCATTCACCCAAACTCTGTCTTGTTCCTTCTTCCATATTCCATGCCACCAGCCACATCCTTCTGTGTCCAAGAAGGTCTTTCCTTCTTCTTCATCCACCACTTCGAATCAATCACTTCATTAGTTAAGACTCAGATTTTATTAACAGAAAATGACTCGAGCTAGCTGAGTGGAGAAAAGGAGGGAATTTTTCATAAAGTTACAGTGATTTTCAAGGAAGCCAAGAACCAGGCAGGATAAGCTGCATCTTACAGGTCAAGAACAGTTCAGTGGAGTTTCTTCCTATTTTTCATTTCAGCTTCTCTCTGTATATACCTTTAATTCTTCTCTCTCAACCAGACTGGCTTTCTCTGTTTCTCAGTCCACTTTACAGTTGGGAATATGGGATACACCATAGCTCCCAAATTTTTATCTTCTCCAAGCAAGAGACCACCCCAGGGTAGTTTATCCTGAGCAAGTCAACTCTGTCTAAAAGAATGGGCTTACATGGTGAAAATGAGTTGCTGAAATCCATCCCTGTGGATAAGAAAGTCTAAGAAGGAAACCATCACGATCTTGACAGAAACCCCAGTGGTGTCTACCACACTCACTAACATCTGATGTTTCTATGTCATAAACTTTTCTCAGTGTGGTCTCTGTCCCCATCATAAATACCAATATCCTTATTCAGCTTCTCCTTCATCCCTTTCATGAACTAATTTATTCCTATTATGGTGATTTTCACATACACAGATTCAATCATTTGTTTACATACCTATTTCTCTGACAAACCTAAACTGCTTGAGGACAGACATTTTATCTCCTCCTTTTTATATCCCCTCTGGTGCCTAGCATAATATCTGGGACATAATGGGCCCCAGGAAATAGTTTAATGAATGAAAGATACATCTGATACCTTAGGCCATTACTCATTTGGGTCATGAGTTTGCCATAAAGGATGATAAGTAGCATAATAAACATTGTTCTAAGAACCATGTTTGGAGAAGATATACATAGCTTGTTCTAATATACATATTTAATAAAGCCAAAGGCACAAGTTTAACTTAAAATTTGATTTTAAGGTAAGCATTACTGTGGTAAAGCAAGCTAATAGGTTCTAGGATGCTGCTTCCTAGGGAAATAGGACAGTGGAAAGATGACTATCATGATGATGATGGTGGTGTGGGTGCAATGATGACGGCGGCCACCTTTTACTGAGCATTTGCTATGTATGTACTCAGAAATTTCCATGCATTACTTAGAGTTTTTAAAAAACCTTGAGGAATGGAAGCGGCATGCCATTTTGAAAGACTGTTTGAGACATATGTATCTCACATCTTGCTAGTAATTGTAACAAGAACCAGGGTCTCTTCTCTTGTGTTCATTAATTTTGATATTTGTTGAGCCGTTTCAATGTTATAAACACTATTTTAGATGCTGGTATTATAGCATTGAATAAATAAAATGTTTTTTTATCTTGGGACTTACCTTTTTGATGGGACAAGTGAGAATAATAGATGTTAATTAGATGTCTTAACTTGAGAAATGATGAAGTTCAAAAACTTAGGAATAAACCTGAAACTTTAATAAAAATAAAATGAATGGCAGCCACCATCTTAGTATCTACCATTGCAATAATGAGTTATAAGAAATACATATTTGGTCATTCAGATGACCAAATATATATTTCCCAGTTGTATTTGGTCTGCATCCACAGCTCCTGAAAACCCTGAAGTCTTAAAGGTGAAACAGATGTTTTGTTACATTAATGAGAGACTTTTGGACACCCACCCAAGGTGGGGGGCCTGGAGACTGAATTAGCCAATGGCCAATAATTTAGTCAATCATGGCTATGCAATAAAGGCCCCACAAAAACCCCTGAGAAGAGCTTTTTGCTCTCTCTCTCTCTCTCTCTCTCTCTCTCTCTCTCTCTCTCTCTCTTCAGTTGGATCCTGCTTCTCAGTTTGGCAGAGCTTCTATGCCTGGGGAACCAGAATGCTCCACGTGCCACCAAGCCAGTCCCCAAGCTCCGCAAGGATAGAAAGTCCTATATTTGGGACCTTGCCTGAGCTATGTTTCTCTTCAGCTGGCTGTTAACCTGTATCCTTTATGGTATCTTTTATTAAACTGGTAAATGTAAGTGTTTTCCTGAGTTCTGTGAGCCACTCTGGCAAATCAATGGGGGGAGAAACTAGCAAACTAAGGGGGAGGTCGTTGGAACCTCCAATCCAGCCGGTCCATCAGAAGCACAGGTAACTGCCTGGGACTTGGGACCTGCATCTGGAGTTGGGGGTGGAGGGCAGTCTCACAGTAGAGAGCCCTTAACCTGGGGAATCTGGTGTTGTCTCTGGGCAGATAGCATCAGAATTGAGCTGAGTTCTCCAACACCCTGCTGGTGTTCGAGAATTCTTGTTGTAAGTATGTGTGGGAAGACCCCCTCCCACATATTTACACACATTGGAATTGGGTCCAGGTACCCAAATGAAGTTATATTACTATTACTGCTGGGTTATAATATTGTTACTGTTATACATATATGTAGGGAATTGGATGACAGCGAATCACAAATATGTATCAGTAATTTTACATATATTAGTTGGTATTTTAAACATATTTTAATTTTATTCTTTGATTCAACAAAAATAGATTAAGCTCCAACTATATTTCAGGCACTGAACAAATAACAGTAAGCAAAACAAACAAGAAATTGAGTCTAAGAGAGGGCAAGCAATTTGCTCAAGATCCAAATAAGTAATAAATGGCAAAACTGGGATTTGAAACAAATTTGTCTGACTACAAAGGTAGAAACAGAATAACCAGTTATAAAGCTATTGAAATAGCTTGGTGTCACAGACAAGAGTCACAGCAGAAAAATGGTCAGATTTTCTTTGAAGGTAGACAACATGATTTGTGAATAGATTAGGTGGGTAAAAGACAAGAGTCATGACTCTAGGACTCAGAGGGTTTGGGCCATGTAAGACATGGCAATGAGGGAGTCTCCATGAAAAGCTGGTTTGGGGAGGGGAAACATTAAGAGATTCATTTTGGACATGCTGAATTTGAGATGTCTGTTATACCTCCTATGTGAAGGTATTGAGTAGACAATCAGATTTATAAATCTGAAGTAAAGAAGAACAACTTGGGCAAGAAACAAATATTTGAGAGTCGACAGCATGCAGATAAATAACGTAATATTGTTGGTAGCAAGGCTCATAGGCCTAAAATTGCCAAGTTCAAGTGGTAAAGTTGCCTTTAGGTTATGGAAGGTGAAGAGCCTGACCTTTATTCAGACTTGAAAAGGAGATAAAAGGTCATTTACTTTTGTGATAAGAGATGGGTTATAGTAAATCTCATGGGCATAAGACTTTGGTTTTCATGTATGTGTGTTTTTGTTTTTTACTTTTGTATTTTATTGTTTAGAAGAGTGACTCTATTTAAATACTGGGAGAAACAAGTCAGCTGAGATTTAAAGTTGCATTCCATAAAGCAATGGCTCTTAAGCTATAGTGTGTATAAGAAAAGACCCATGAGTCAGGGTTAAAAATTTTGATTCCTAGAAACATGTAAGTAGATTATGAATACCTACTTAAGAGGAATCACTTTTTTTTTTTAAGCATCTTGGGTAAATATGATGTAGCATCCATACAGCTCACTGTGAAAACTTCTGCCACTGATCATTGAATAAATTGTTTTGCTTTAGGATATTATAAAGTCAGTTGCTTCTTGGTGCACATGCCCAGCAAAGCTTAAAGCTAATAGGATTTTGTCCTATTTTAGTAATGCAAGACAAGGTAGCTGTTGGCCATTTTCCCTTACTGCAAATGAATTCATAAGGTTCTTTTCCTTAATTACATTAACAATGCTTCTAAGGGCAAGTGTGATGGGGAAGGAGGAGAACTTGAGCTCAGTAAATGGTGCATGAGGAGACTGTAAGGAAGGGGAAACTGAACAATTTGCCCACTGGACTCTGTTGTCCAGAGTACACATGACAATGCCAAACTCACACCAACACTCAAATACAGTTATGATAAATTATGATAAATATACATTTCAGATGCTGGACTCTTGGTCTTAGGGTCCTCTCAGAGACTACCCATTAAATAAGAGGTGCAACCCCAAATCAGGGACAAGATGAAGAGGGTCTCTGTGTCTCTCATTCTAGAAAGTTAAACTCACCAGTTCACCTCGGTCCAACACAGCCTCTGTATCGAGGCTCTGCATGAGGTGTCCCTGGACACCATGAAAGCTGGGTGGAAACAGTCAGCCTGGACACTGATTTGCCCTCTGATTATGCAACTGAAGCAATGAGGAAGTTGGTCTAATCTAGTGGACCCTGTTGGTTGGATTTTCATTTTCTGTCCCCAACACTTGCTGGTTGCTTTGTAGCAGGTCACATAAACCCCCAAGTCTGCTTTCCCAGACAATATAATGGGACTCACCAACACTGCTGTCTTGGACTGACCACTCAACTAAACTGTTTTGAACTCCCTGAAGTTGTTAACTGCTAACAGAAACTAGGAGATTCAAATAAAACAGATGAATGAGTCTGCATTTTGCTTTCTATAGAGTTCTTTGTGGTCCTGGAAACAGAATCTGCTGAGAGCTCAGCACTAGAGAAGTTTCTTTTTCCTAATAAAAATGGGCATTTTTAAAAAATAGATAAAACAATTCTACTTCATTCTTCTCTGATTTTTCTTAACTTTAAAGAAATGTAAAACAATAATTTATATTCACTTGTAACAACAATGTTTTTAGGTCTTACTTTTAAGAACAATAATTTTCCTCTCCCTCTGCCTGCATATTAAGCTCTTATTTTACTGCTCCATGATGCTTTGGGACTTTTTGTATTTCTGCATTTCATTGTAGGCTTTTGTAGATCCCTTTTAGACATATAAGAGTATAGCTGGATGTTAAATTGGGGCTCTTCCTGACTCAATTTCAACTCTTGCATATTATGATTGGTACCTGGATATCAAAGTGAGAGTAACAGTTGCCCCACCAATACACAGAATTTACAAAAAGAATGAAGATAAGCCCCTCTCTCCATTACTCTTAGGCACTTAAGCTGGAGCAAGGACACAAAATGGGGCTAGAGTTGGGAGAAGTTGAGATTATGGTAACAGTTATAAACAGAAAGCTGTGGCTATGCTGTGAGTCCTCCCCAACTCCTGCTTCAGGAGGTACTTTCTAACAGTAAGCCTGGTAGGAGGACTTCAGGGAGCCCCTTAAAGAGCTTTGAAATATATTTCTTGCAAGTGGGAGATACAAAGAACTGGTGCCTGACTCCCACCTAAGGAAGCTAAAGCTGACAGTGAGCTAGTATCAGATGTAACCAAGGAAATCCACTGGGAAGAGAAAGGCCAATTCCTAGGTAGTAGGGATAAGAGACTCTTGCTGCATTGAGATGAGCTTGTACCCACTGAGTTTCTAGGGGCAAAACATGGGTGCAAGTTTCCTGTGGATAGATGTGGGACTCACAGGAGAATCAGAACTAGTGGGGAGACTCTTCCAGGGTCCAAAGTGACCCCTGAAATAGAGATGTATCTATTCAGTCAGGGAAATTGTATGTGCCAAGGCATTAGTTATAACTTCTACTTGAAAGTACTCCTCAGATCCCTCACCCATAAGTCAAACAGGATTTTGCTTCTCCCCTAGTAAAAAATGTCCTCGCACTCCCACCAATGTAATTGCTTCTTTGATATTAAATACACAACAGCAGGAACTTCATTTCCAAGATGCACAGACATACTCCATTTAACTATGTTCTACCAAATGCACGAGACTGCATCACTTTTCAATTAACTGCCTTCTTCAGAAGCAGATGACATACTACATGCTAGTCTACATACTACATGCTACATACATACGTGAGCTCTGACGGGGCAAAATGGAAGGTAAAAATTCATGTGAGAAGATGGGTAATGGCTTTGATGGTGTGAGCCGGTGTGGTGGAGTTGAGGAGATGTGTGGAAGTCAGATAGTGAAACTGACTAACTCGGCAGAAACTGGGACACTAGAACCAAAAGCTGGTTGTGTCCAGCTCCCTTGCACTGCCACTTGCCAAACTGTGTTCAGACGGGCAGAGATTTCTCCGATGAAGCCTCATGAGCTCTAAGTCACTAACCCTAGTCTGATAACCCACGGATAAGTCAGCTGCAGTCCACTTACCAATATACATTTTCTTCTATTAAAATGTAAACACTTGTTTGAGGAAATACGGAAACAGAGGATATACATTGACAACAAAACTGAAATTTCAACACCAGGGAAATTCAAAGATCATCTGTGAGTAGCTGTCTCTCTGCCTGCAGCTATAGAGATCTCTCCTGGCCCTGAGAAACCTCCCCCAGGTGGGACTTTTGCAGGGAGTATGAGGGTTGCATTGCCTGCCTTGATTGTCCCAGGAATGAGGCAAGAGCAGAGAGAAGTCATTAAGAAGGAGAGTTTTCCAAACAGTGGTGCGAATGGGCTTTCCAAAAATAAAAGCCCTGATCTGTAGCACTTCCCCGTTCCCATGAGCAGAACAGTCTGACCGTGGCTAACTTCAGGGCTGGCTGTATTTAATAATCAGACTGCAAAATTTCTGAAAATTTAACACTCAGCTCTCCCAAACTAGTGTTAGCCCACTGCAGCCCACCGCAGCTTATAACTCAATGACAGTCAATACCACCCAGTTTCCATAAATATCTATGATAGAATTTTAATTTCCTGAGAAAATATACAAATGCAAGAGGAAAAAGGCATCAAAGTCTCTGGCCCTACAGCGCTCAGCAGATACATTTTTAAGGAGCTTACAAAGAAACATGTTGACCTCAGGCTTAGCCGCCCCCAAGCAATTTTTTTGTTGCACACAATACACATATGTTTAAATTAGCTGTATATGTAATAGTATTAATGAACATAATGTAACTCTTTACAGATATCCATAAATAGTTTAAATTGGTTTATCATGCAATCAAGTTACATACTTTTTAACCCATAAGCACTTACTTAAATTAACATTGTCCGAAATTTTAGCAAGCTGTCATTGAATTGAGTGCTATTCATCATATTTAGAAGTTAACACACAAAAAGACAGGCTTTTCAATGACAGGAAGGAGATTTGGTCAGAATAAGCCCTGAGTAACACTCTTGTACTCCCTGCTCCAGGCAGGGAAAGATAGAGAATTTTTCAGAGAAAAGAAAGATCTGTTGTAGCCTCCCTCTACCCACCTTGGGCTAACAGGAACTACACCTCCTGCAAATGGAATCTAGTAAACTCTAAAGACTATAATATGACAGCAGAAATACCAGCTGTAAGGCTGTGACAGTGTGATAAGAAGCCATTGACCCCGATAGTCATTAGTTCTATGGCTGAGGCAAGTTACCTATCTGTGTTTCATCTGCCTCCATAGTCTCATTGTTAAAATGGTTCCAAAAAATACCTGCCCCACTAACTTCATAAAGTTGCCATATGATATCTGAAAGCCCTTTGCAGACTGTGGAGAGACAGCTAAAAATAGGAAATCATTACATGACAGAATATGGAACTGGTAATGCCTGTTTCTGGGGTTGAAAAGCCTGTGATTACTATGATTACTCTTTCTTCACCACATAGCAGTCACAGACACATACAAACAGCAAGTCCTCCTGAAGCCCTGTGTGAAGGGTCAGAATGACTTCCATCAACTGGTTTTATTAAGCACCCTGCATCCTGAGTACGATGAAACCCAGGGAAATTCCCAAATGATGCTCACTCCATTCCACACCAGCTGTTTTCTAGAATATTCCCCGCCTTCTAGCACCTTCAAATCTAAAGGGGGTATTGTTGGCATATCAGTGGCTGCCCTCCCAGCCTGACTACATTTTATTAGGAAGCCCTTGGAACACATGACTATGAGAAAAATGAAGTGAAGTCACCCAAGGATATAAGAACAAGGCCAGGCTACTGCCCTGGGGTTTTGTTTTGTTTTGTTTTTTGTTTTGCATACCAGATAAGGCTTCCATAGGGATAAGATTTCATTTTTCTGCTCAAGGATTCAAGAATTAAACAACGACTGTTGAGGGGCTTCTGTCCTCTAGCACCCATATTCATTTTCTGATGGCTTTGTAAAGTATCTTTGCTGACCCACTGTCAGGGCTAGCCAAATGTCTTTGGCCTTTCTTCTGAGTCTCTTTCAATAAGTATGAGAGATGAGAATTCACATGCAGAGGGGTTCTGTTTGTGTTGATCTGTGTACCCAAACCAAGTTCAGACATTGAAAATCTGCCTGCTCCAACCGACCCACGAGCTCTCTGCATTTGCTGAATTGGATGAGGAGACCAAATCCAGTTTCTAGGAGATGAATTTGGGATTTGCTAACAATAAGATCCCCAAGTATGTATGATTTTTTAGGACTTGATGGTCAGAGTTGAATAACAAGCCTATCACATCGCCAGCATGCAATTCATAAGTCCCTCCTATATTTTGGATTGTAGATTTGTTTGTTAGAACTTGTATGATGTCTTTGTTTTTACGTAGCTGCACCTCAAAAGGAGCTGGTTCTTTGTAGGTTGTATTGGGAGCCACTTGGCCATAAATTAAATATAAGCCATTCTGAAGTATCTTCAGCTTCCAGTCAGCTGTCTCATTGACACAGGGAGGCTTAGGAGATGTCATCTGCCATTTTGAAGGTATTGGTCCTTTAAGAAATTTACAAGTGAGAAAAAAAATGGAAAGCATAGTTATTTAATTATTTCATCCTTTCTGATTATAATTCTTTGCCACTTAACAAGTTGTTTCTGTACCTGGTCTGTACTAGTTCCCTCCAACCACTATTTTAATATTTTAAGTATCTATCTACTCTTTGTTTTAGAGAAATGGCAAATCCTGAGTGTATCTCTCTCTTGGGGAGCTCTAAAGAAATGGATTTGGAATAGAAAAATGGGTTAAGTTTTAAGTGGCCCTGCATCTCTTGTCAATCAATTTGTGAAAGGAAACAAGAAAAGGGAGAGAGGAATCACACAACAGGTTTGTGATAACCAAAGTTGGTGGTCCAGGATGCAAATTCATGCTTTTTTATGTAAATACTATTTACTATGTATCACTTTATCAATGAGATGTTTCTCATCTATCTATATGAATAGTGCTCTCCTGTCCCTCTCTCCCTTTACTCTGCTTTAGTTTTCTTCATAGAAGGTGTCACCTCTAGCATATTACAAATTGTTTATTGTCTATCTTATAACCACTTGGATATAAACATAAACTTTGAGGAAGTGTACTTCTCCATTTTCTTCATTGCTATATCTTCAGCACCTTAGAGTTCCTGGTACCTAGTATGTGTTCAATTAATATCTCTTGATTGAATGATACATCCGTGTTCCTGAATTAGGTGTACCATGTCTAAATTATGGGTTTTCTCATCAGTTTATAGAAATGTATTGTTCAAGTTCCACTTAGGATACCATTATCCAAATCCTTCAAAAATAGCTACTGGTAAATTCATGAGTTAATAAATGCAAATTATTTGACTGTTTAAATACAAGTATCCTGAAATTTGTCACAGTGGTATAAACTGTATAGGAAAACAGGAGTTGCAATTAACTCTAGAAATGTTCTGCTCCCTGCTGAAAATCTGTGTTTGGCCTGTGAATGATCCAAAATGTATTTATTTTCAATTTTGTATGTATTCTAAGAAATACCCTAAGGCTCAGTGTAACTGTAAACTTCAGTGTGCTTTCTAAGCAAATACTAGGTCACTATAAGGGAAAGTAATTCAGAAGCTGAAGAGAGAGGAACAGAGAAGAGAAAATGACCATTCCCCTGTCTCTCATTCCTCCTTTATACACTTGGAAACAGAAAAATGACACCCCCCTTCAGAAGCTGAAGAGAGAGGAACAGAGAAGAGAAAATGACCATTCCCCTGTCTCTCATTCCTCCTTTATACACTTGGAAACAGAAAAATGACACCCCCCACACACTCTCCTGGACATGAGCAATATGTGACATGTGAAAGTACTTCATGTTTGTTGGAGGGAAGAAATCTGCAGCAATCTGAAACTTGTGCTTACTAAAATACAGAAATCAAAGTAAATCCTTGGATCTCAAATTCCCTGGCCTATAAGAATGATGTGCATTTTTGCCCAAAAATGTGAGCTTGTATGTGAGCTTCATCAGTGCAGGGGCTTATCTGCCTGTTTTGCCTCCAAAGCTCAGCTCCTAGACAACTGCTTGACACATGATAAGCAGTTAGAATAGTAGTTGAAAATGAATAAAATAGAATACAAGCTTCCTTGACAACAATGGAGATTGTCTTCTTGCATCAAATACTAAGAAAAGAAGGCATGCAAGGCAGGTCACTCACCAAACTTAGCTCCACAGGGCTCGTTGGCAACCTGCAGGGGAAGAAAGAGAGGAATTGGTCAGGATGATGACAGTGTCATGACTCTCGTGGCTGATCTACTGAGAGCTCAGATTCCTGGAGCAATCTTCTCTTCCCTAGCCATATAAAAATCCCTGCCCTCCGCCTTATCTTGGCTGTCTCGGCTTCTCTTTGCAAATGGCTGGCTCCATCTTTACCCTCCATTGCCTGCTACCCTTTTGGGTCTTCTAGGCACAAGTTATGGTCTCATTCCATCCTCCTATCCCCTACAAACAAGAGAACTATTTGATCTGAACCACTCCTCCTCCTCAACTGTAGAAAATTTTTATAAACAGTACTTTCCACACCCCAGGACAGCACAAGGTAACCCATTGTGCAGTGAGAATAAAATAATAGAATTTATATCTGTGTTTATTTTTATTTTTTAAAACACATTGAACTTTAGAAATATTTACAACTCAGATTGATAAGGCCACTCTTATTTAATATCAAGACAATTGTGTCATATACAGTAACTGGGATATACTTAGGAGACCTCGGTTTCAATCTTCTGTAATGAACCGCAGTTTACAGGCTACAAGGAGCTGTCAGTGTGGTTAATTTTATAAATACACATATTTAAATTCTAAAGTCTGTAACATACTTAGTAGTAAGATAAGATATAATCACAAACATTTTTGTACTATGTAAAGCTGATTGGTTTTCCTGTGGCAAAGTGTGTAAGAGACTTTTTGAACTTAAGGATATTGCACATTTTCTTTTATAGTGTTTTTCTGACTGCTAGGAATCAATTAAAGGGAGGCAAGGACAAAAGCGGTGAGACCAGCTAGCAGATCTCTATAAGCATCCAGGCAGGAAAGCATGCAGCCTCTGACCAAGGTACTAGCAATGGAGATGGCGATGAATGGTTGGAGTTCCTGACATCGATACAGGATGAGAAAATGAGAAGAGACCAAGACGACTCCAAGATTTTGGTCATGAGTAAACAGAAAGACTTAGGAGGACTAAACTGGGGAGAAAGAATAATGCATTCATTTTTGGATATGACAGGTTTGTGATGCTTATTAGATATGAAGGTTCAAGTATCAGGTAGGCAGATGGGTCTAATGATGGAAGGTAAGGCACTCTGATGATATGAATTTAAGAGTCTTCAGCTTCTGTGTGATGCTCAAGACCTGAAACTGTTAGAGATCAAGTCTGTGTAGTTAGAGAGGAGTACTGGGACTCTGCAATATTTAGAGGTCAGGGAATGAGTAAGAATCAGCAAAGGAGACCAAGAAGGACAGGCCAGTGAGTCAGAAAGGAAACCTGGAGAGTGGGATGTTTGGAAACCAAGAGGAGAAAGTGCTGCAAGGAGGAGTGGTCAGCTGTGCCAGGTGTCGCCACTGCATCAAGAAGAGGACAGAGAATTGACCAAAGGGTTGACCAGCACGGTGGTCAAGGGGTTCTTCACAAAAATAGTTCTGTGATGTGATGAGGGCAGAAGCTTCATTAGAATGGCTCTAAGGGAAAATGGGAAAAGAGAAATTGGAGTTTTGCTGTGAAGGAGAACAGAAAAATTGAGTGGAGCCTGGATGGGGATGAGAGGTCAAAGAGATTTTTGTTTGTTTTCATTTTTGTTTTAATGTGAGAGAAATGACAACATAGTTATCTGTTGCAATTTGATAGGAACATTCCAGTAAAGTGGGAAGAGGTAATACGTAAGAGCTAAGGGATAACTGTTGGAGCAACGTCCTTGAGTAAGAGGGATAGAAACTAGTTCACTTGTGGCCTTAGACGGGTGCATGAACAACGTATACTTAGTTACAAGAGGGAAACAGTGTGTATGGACAGAACTGCAGGTGATGAGGTAGATAAGATGCAGAGCTTTGAAACTCCTTTCCCACTTTTTATTTTCTCACAGAAGCTGGAGGAGGGTTATTACGTGAGAGTGAGAACAGGGAAGAGACACTGAATGTTTAAAGTCAAAGGAATGAAAGAGTTCAATAGAGGAGAGCAAATGAACTGTGCAAATGAAGACTGTTTACAAAGCACCACTGAAGTCCCACTTGAAGTTAGTGGCCATGAATTTAAAGTGAGACCTTTCAACAAGGTCTTGTGTTTTCCTCAGCTACAGTCAACTGTGAAAGACACAAGGGAACTGGATTTCATCAGTGTGGGGTACTTTCCAGGACTGAGGTTTCAATAATAGAATATCATGAAGAGAGGGAGAAGCAAGTGGTTGGGCTACTGCAAGGTAAAGATTGATTATTAATCATGGAATTTAAGTTGTGTGAGGAAGAAAAGAAAGGCATGAATGGAGTGAAGAATACCATCTTAATTTAAAAAAAAACATTTTGTACCATTGAATGATGGATTGAAAATTGAGTGTCGTACTATGGTAGTAAAGATGCATTCTCCCATTTTAATCTATATTTCTTTGTGAAGCAGTTTTTCAGTTATGACAGTCAAAACCATGAAGAAAGGTAAATTAATTTAGAATGTAATCTTCAAATCACTAACTTCAAATGTAACCTTCAAAGTGTTAAACTAAGATTAATAAGAGAAACACACTCATCAAATTACTCTATTAAATATTTCAATTATGTTAGAAGTGTTTACATTGTAAATACTGTTTATATTATATATTACATATAATACAATATTTTGGTAAACGCAAAATGGTTTTGCACTGTGAATAAACTATGTGAAGCATATTACTTGGTTCATTCTTATAAATTTCTACTATGTGTATTTTTTAATATGCATAGTATTAGTACTGGTATACAACTTACAATAAATTAGCATATATATTACAAGTATACTCAAAAAAATTTTTTTGATAGGGAGGTATAATCAAAAATGTTTGGCAGTGACTATTCTTGGAGATAAATCGTTGGATTCCAGCCATTGTTTTTGCTCTTGCAAATGATTTCAACCTCATTTTGGGGTTTCTTAGATGTCGAAATTCAATTTAGTTTAACCCATGATAGGTATGTGACAGGCACTACCTTCAATTCAATTTTCTCACTTATAAAAAGGAGGGAGATAATAGCACCTAGCTTATTGAGGTTGTTTATGGCTTTCAGTGAGATAATTCTTATGAAGGACTTAGCCCAGATATTCTGTCTGGTCTTGCTCATTAAATATTAGCCTGTTTCATAGAGATGCTGATTATAATAAAAAATTGAACCACACTGAACTAGCATTGTAGGCAAGAGAAGCAACTGTAGTTTACGGTCCTTGCTACTTAAGAAGTTTGTACTCTTTCTAAAAAAAACATTATGCACATGAAGTAATTGGGGTAACAATCTAAACGAGCACCAAAATACATGCTGTAGGTAGCACCTGTGCTATGTGCTCTCATGCTAGAGTATGCAGAGACCTAAAGACACAATCTAATTAACTGCTAGGAACAGAGATCCTGGATACTGCACTGTAGGCTGCTTTCATGTCTATTTAGAGCCACAGAAACCACCATTGTGATACTCTCGATTGCAAAGGAAAATGGTTTAACCGCAAAAATAATCTATTTGGCAGCAAGTAGATAGTCTTTGGTTGAGGAAGAGTAGTAAATAAGCAAGGAATATCCATTTCGTTAAAAGTCTTTTAAAAAGTGTCTTCATTCTAATGGCATTAATAATAATGGTGCAAATAGCAATCACTACAATCTACAATGAGCCTCCTATGTACTATCACGTTAATCCTTACTGCAACCCTAGGAGATAAGAATTAGCATGTTCATTGGCAGATGAGGAAATGATTGTAAGAGAAATTAAATAACTGGCCCAAGAAATTAAGTAACTTATCATGTAGCTGATAAGAGGCCAGACTGAGATGCCAGCAAAAGCCTGTCTGACTCAAATGTCTCACCCTACCACTCAGTGGGGCAGTTTCTATTTATAATTTTGGTGACACTTGGAAAGACTAAACATCCACTGATAAAGAAGCACTTGGGATTTTAGTTTAGCTTAGTTCATTGTTGCATAGAAGAATCAGTTGCTCTTATAAACCCATTTTGATTTATGCCCAGATTCACACAGTTGGGTTCAAATAGCCAAACTTATCCTTCTCCAAGCCACCCCTAATCAAATCATCATCTGGAAACAATCTGCTCTGCTTTTAAGTACAAGTACATCTTTCAGAAGTATCCTCCATTTCACTGAAGCAGAGAAATGAATTATCCTTCATTTCATTGTTTCTTCTGAACATTTGGTTTCTTACAATTTCCATGAGGTTTTTTTCAGAGGGGGTACACCAAACTCCTTGGACTCAGAGCCAATCTTTTCAGTTGAATGTCTTCTGAAAGAAGGGGGAGGAAAATACTGTTCTGCCAGGGAAATTTCAGTTGGCCTAGAAGGAGTCAATTTCCCTAACACTTTTTGAATGGGTGCCTAGAGAAGCTGGAAAGTGGGATTTTGTGTATAATAACTAGAATGGAGACCAAAATAATATGAACGACAATGTTCGTGAGCATTGTGAGGAGGTGGAAGTGGCCACTTCATGATGATTCAGCACTGCTGGCCACTCTGCCTCCTTTCCAAAGAGACTAATTTGCGGCCAGTAATGAAAAGGAAGTGCAAGCCAGCGGCAAATGGGCTAATGACCTGTCCCTTAGGAAATAGGTTTCCATGGCATCCTATCAATACGATATCCAGAAAACCATTAAAACTTTTCCAAATTTGGAACAAACTGTGGGCCATTTCTTTAGAGGCAGAAACTTTCATTGAGAAGCTTCATGTTACATAGGAAAGAGAATCCAGCATCAGAGCCCAAACTCATGGAATCGGTCAAGTTCAGTTCTGGCAAGAGGTGCGCCCTAGTTGCCTCTGGCATCATTAGACCCCTTCTTTCCCTTTTCAGAAACCTCTGTGTGCTTTGGGAAAAGCATTTCCCTCCTCTGCTGGGCATGGTTCCCCAGTCACATGCAGGAACAGGGGACACCTATTACATGCCCTGTGTCTTTCAGGCTCATCTGATTAATAAGACTAGAGGTGTTTTTAGAAGTAAAAAGCACTTCCAAGTGGAGGCTATTGCTATTCTCACCCTTCCCCTTCTTCAGAAATCTGAGCACAGAATTCCTGACAGCTCTTTTCTTTAGCCTCAAAGTTTCACTGCTCCAGAATGTTCAGACTTCTGCTTGATACATTCCTTGAGAGATTGGAGATGTGATTAGAAGTGCCTCTGTTGCACAGCTTTGCATATAGTTATGGAATACAAAATAATGGGTTACTCTGTAAAAACCTGGCTGCACTAGCCCTAACTAAATTACTTCCTCCTGCATCTTTTCTCAATTGCTTTCAAACATCTTAAGTAGTGGAACCCCCATCTTCGCTAGCCAATCCCCTTAGAAATGATGCTGTAGTTACTCCTTTCTTATCACAGGTCTTTCTTAGTTGACTGTATACCACCCTATTCTCCCCAAAGCTCAGAATCTTCAAATGTACCCAGAAATTGGCTAAATCCTAAATTAAATAGAGCATTTTTTATGTTTCTTTTTGGTCAGTGCTATGTAGGCACCAGTCAAAAAACTTTTAGAAGAACCTAATGTATCTCTATTCCCTTCCCTAGGTCCACATCTTGGACTGGAGCTCAATGGGAAGTTCCTGATAAACATCAGAGCTTCCTAAATAGGAATGGGTATCCTCCTTCCTTCATGAAGCCTTCCTTAACCATTCCAGCCCAAAGTCCTTTCCCCATCCCCATTTTGTACTTCTAAAGCGTGTATGTTCTATAGTACCCTTGGGTAAATTGGGAATCACTGTATTATATAGCAAAAGGGACATTGTAATGAACAAATGTGTTCTTCTACTATCATTTTTCAGATGAAGAAACTGAGAAAGATCAAGCATCTTTCTCAAATTCGTACAGCTAGTTATTGGGAGACCTAGAACCGAATCCGTGTCTTCTTATTCCTACTTGTATGCCATTTCTCTCCTCAAAGATACACTAAACACCTGTCACGTACCTTATTCTCTCCCATTATCTTTCTATGTCTGTTCCCTCAATTAGACTGTAACTTGCATCCTATTCCTTGAGGGAAAACATAATTTCACACCTATTTGTTTCACCAAGAGGGTTTAGCAGAGTTCCAGAAAGGGAGAAATTACTCCACATGCATCTGTCAGCCGACTGATTTAATTATTACTCTCCATCTATCCATCTCAGTTCTGCAGCCAACACTTAGAATTTTTTAATGCTTTTCATTTAAAAACACTTTTAATAGTTCAGATAAACCTCAAATACCATATGCCATGACAAAATTGGAATTATATCTACATTATTAGTACACACACATCTCTTATATTCAACTAGCTCTAACAATACTGAGTGACAATGACAAAAGAAAAAAGGGTTATAATAAAGAGCAAACTTAGGTACTATGTCTCCTTACCTTGAATGGGAGAAAAGTAACGATTAGCGTACTGAAGGAGCAAAGCAATAATAGCAAAATGACTATTGTCAAGTAGAGGAGCCATTGATTCCAGGATGGTCTCTGTGTTTCTTGAGGACGTGAATGGCTTAAAGGCATATCTTCCATGTGGTTCAAACTCATCCTCTGCAGGAATGAGAGCTGTGGAAAGCAGAAATTCACAAGTGATGGGCAAATGATGCAACTAGTCAGTTTTGTAGTATGGTACAGTAGTGGGTGTAAGAGGCGGGGTTTTCCTTCTGATTCTGTGTGTTGGAAAATGATACTTCTAGGCTAACTGCTGACTCTCATTTGGCAGCAGACCAAATGCACTGAGAGGAGTGGAAGGCTAGGAGCCAATACAAACACAGAGGATAAAAAAACCAATATAAGTTAAGAGGGAAAAAAAAAAGTATTTTCTGAAGCAAGAGGAAGTACACTGCTGCACAGCATTACAAATTATTTCCAGATCAGAAGATTCCTTTTTATAAGAAGAAATAAAGTTCAAGGTTAAGCCTTATGATACTTCAAGAATCATGATTTATGAGGCAGAGGACTGGGGAGCTAGGGAGGCTAGGATGCATAGTTTGGAAAAAATAAGGAGGTTTCATCAATTTCTAGGATATAAAATTTGTTCATTTGGAAAGAGTCTGTAGGGAACACTTAAAGTATTACGAGAATTTAGTTTTTTAAAAATATACAAATACCACAGGCTCAATTCTCTCATATCTCACCATTTAAATACCCTGAAAATCAATGCTGACATCAAATAGAAATAAAATTACCATACAAACAATATTTTCTTACACCTTGCCCATCAGTCTGAACTTATGCTCTATTCTAAAATTCCTGAGTTTTCTTCTTGGCACCAAAACTGCTGATTTACTACAAAATTGAGGAAGTCCCAGCTTCTATGTACCACAGTCTTTCCATCTGTTAAATGGGATACCGACTCTTTTACAGAATGCCAGCATCTTGTGCTGGAAAGAACACAATACTTCCAACCAGAAAAGACCTGAGAGGAAAGCCTCAGGTACCACCCAGCCCTTACCTGCTCAGGCACCTTTAGCATATCACTACTTCTCTGTTTTCTTAAGTGTGAAGGACAAAATTTCTACTTCATAAGGCTTTTTTGAGGATGAAATAAATATGAAAGATTTGGCTCATAAGAGATATTCTACAAGTCTTTATTTTTCCTCTACCCTTCTTAAAGATGCTGTAAAGACAGATTCAATTATAAAACCTTTTTTTCTTATTGAAGTATAGTTAATATACACTATTATTTGGTTTCTAGTATATCACAACATAGTGATCTGACAGCTATCTACATTATTAAATGCTCACCCTCCTTCCCCCAAAAAGACTGAATCAATTATAAAATCCTAGAAAAGGATTACTGTTTTTAAATGTTTACCACGGGGTGTAAGTCAGCTGAAGTTCATTTAAATAAAAGGAGGTAAAAAGAAACTGTTTTGAAGAAATTTTTTTTAATGTAAGAATCAAATTTTTTTTTCATTAGACAAAAAACCTAGAGATTTAACACCCTCATTTATGAAAAAGGCAGCTAAGAATAAATAATAAAGGTTTAGGGGTGGGTCACAGCACTACTGCCTGGGTAATGGTGGAGTAGGAACCTAATCCCAGGAATATTGTTTGGTAACCCAGCCATCTTCTCTGAATACCACACTATTTGCAGTGATATTTCACACTGCAGTGTCAAACTTTAACATGGCTCTAATTTCCCTTAATCAATAAACTCTCTCTGAAAAAAAAGAGTCATGGACTCACACACAAATAGAAATACAAATAGGTTTTCAGTGCAGCAATGTTTCTCTGTTTCTGTGGCTCTGTTATAGAAACTGTGATGCAGGGGTGTATATATTATATATTATGTATATATAATTGTATATATATATGTATATATAATTGTATATTATATATTGTGTTTTTATATACTGACCTAGAAGAAGAGGATGCATTGTACCTATAACTCTTACACCATATCATATCTATAATCCATATGCACTAGAGCAGAATTTAAAGTTGGCCAATGAAAACTTAGACTGTTTCTTTTTTGCTTCTCTGATCTGTTCCTTCTCCTACCTCCTCTCTAAAATTTCAATGGAACTGCCTCTGCTTACTCCTTCAATAAACATTATTCAAATGAGGAATGGTTCCAAATAAGATCCAGGTCCTCCTCCTTCTGCCCTTTACCACAATTAGGTTCTGTTATAGCCTGATTAATTATTTCACCCTTATGAAATTATCTTAAGAAAGATGACCTGCTTAGCTCAAGAAACATACATTCTAGGGCTTCTTTATGCAAACAGTGTTCAGAAATGAAGAAACCTCAGTTGGGACAAGTGACAGTAGAGAAGACTTTGAAATCCCATTTGTACCTCTTTGGTGTAAGCTATCAGAATTGACATATCGGATGTGACTTTCAGTGTTCGACAAGAGATAAATAAGCACCAAACCCAAGTCTTCGTGTTTATGACCTGTTAACTCATTCAGATACATGGAGTGTGATTTTTTCCAATTAAGTCCAACTAGCAAATCCATGTTGACCATTTACTATCAGCCCACTACTGTACTAAGAGCTCTGGGAGACAGAAAAATGTCAAAGCTGTTGAGGAACTTGCCAGCCAGCTAGATTAAAATCTTACCCACAGAGAGAGACAGGTGCCCAACTGTATGCTAGAGGACAGAGCCCCAGAGAGTAGCAAGATCTAGATCAGCTAACATAATTGAGAAGACAGACTGGAAAGACATTGTTTGAGAAGGGAAAGGAGGGAGTTCTTTCTTGAGGGAGGGGTAAAATGAGGAATGAATATTTAGAGGTGTAAACATCTGTAAATATTAGAATATTTAAAAAGAATTCAATATGAACAATGACAAAGCACCAAACTTTTGAATGGATCTATTAGTTTTCATTCAACAGCTGCCAAATGAGGAATTTCAGAAAAACTTCATTCTGTATTTTTCAGATTTTAAAAAGTATGCAAGGTATGCTTGATTAAGCAATTTCAAGTGTATTCATGGTTGTTCTGAATTCAGAATGAATTTGATATCTAGAAACTTGGCTGTAGTTCAGTTATTAATTAAATTAGACTAAAATAAATTAAGCACCTATTATGTACCTTCTCTGTGCATAACTACATTTGGACATCAAGCAGCCCATGTTGTCTCCATATATAAAAATGAAGAAACTGACATTCGAGTGGATGAATCATTTGCTTATTCTGGTAGAACAGAGATTGAATTCCCATCTGTTCAACTCCAAAATTCATATTTTTCTACCTCTCAATGTTGAAATATGTCAAGTGGATGCTGTGTGGAGTAAACAGTGTAGGATGTATGTTAAAATCTGCCAGAGAGTATTAGATGACCATCAGATTCCTCCAAAATCCTATATTCCTCAGGTCTGCTTTCCCACTGTATTCCCCTTATACACTATTTACCATGACTTATCCTTTTGATGGCATATGGGGTAGCATATTCAGTCAGAAATATTGAATATATCAGGACTCCATAGGAATATTACATATCTGATTCTGCCTACTCAGGATTATCAGAGTATTCACGGTTGTAACAAATAAGGCCCATTGGCTTGAAGTTATGTAGATAAATGATTATAGATGATGATAGATCGATCGATCGATTGATCGATAGATAATGATAATAATGATGATGACAGACAGACATGATACATAAACAGGGTTTTAAACTCTGAATTTTATGAAGGCAACAATAATATGTTTGTTATGATTAATAAACACCTATGTTGTAAGGAGAATTATGTACAGCTCATTATACATAAAAAGATATATATGTTCATCTATACATATATGTACATATTTACATGTTATATGTATAATATATCCTAAAAGTATATTGAGACTCCTAATCTCAATCTCCAGATCATTGTCTCTAAGAAATTAATAATAACCCTAAACAGGGCAGTCTAGGAAATACAGTTAAAACTTAATCAATGCAGGGATTAGGGGTGCCAATCCCCTGTGCAGCCAGAAACCTGAGTATAACTTTTGACTCCACAAAATCTTAAATACTGATAATCTGTTGGTGAGAAGCTGTATTAATAACATAAATACATATTTTGCATGATATATAGTATTCTTATAATAAAATAAGCTGGAGGAAAATATTTTTTTTAATTGTTGCAAATCTACAAAATATTTTCCAACATATTTATTGAAAATAATCCACATAAAAATGGATCCGTGCAATTTAAATCCATGTTGTTCAAGGGTCAGCTATAGTTTGAATTCAAATTGATTTTCTTCCATGACCTGGGGACCCTTTTCTTCACTCCAAATTGTCTTTGTTTCGTGCTTTCTGTTTACACAAATCCACATTTTTAGAGCCCTTACAAATTGTTGGTTGGTTGTCTATGTTTTGCTGGGTCAAGTACAGCCTTTAAGTAACCTGTCTGTTGGCCAGTTTCCACAGAAGCCCTCCAGTGCTAGTATCCTGCCTCAGCAGGAGTCTTGGAGAAAGGCTGGGTGGGTTGTAGGTCTGTCTATCAAGCTTGAGTTCTCTATGTGAATGGCTTGCTATTGTCTGTGTGTGTGTGTGTGTGTGTGTGTGTGTGTGTGTCTCGTCTCTAACCTAACCAGCATTGTGTCAGTATCCTGGCCATGGGAAGAACATCTTAAATAGCTTTTGATGGGAATATTTACTTGCTGCTTGGAATCTGGACTGAAAATAGATTTTCCACTATGTAGTATGATATGGCACTTCCTATTTAAAACCATCACCCTAAAGCCATAATGAATGGGCATTGTCGTTAAATCATATCTTGCCCAATATCACAGATTATCAGAGAATGTGTATTTCACCTCACCACCTAACTGAAATCAGAAGATCTTAACAGTCCTGAAACTAAGCATCCCTCAAATCTCCTGGACTTTCTTGGGCAGCCTTAGGAGAGGGGTATGGCAGAGGTATTTTCCCTTCACTCTTGTGCATGGTCTCCTCGTTTGGTAGGCTTTTTCACACCAGCTCAGCCCCGGAGAATGATGAGCACACTCACTGCACTCGGCACCCAGCCATCACATGTGTTCACTCAGAAACCTATGAGACACTTTCTCTTCTGGTTTTCCATTTTTGCACTGGCCTTCAACCATTCAATTTAGATATTCTGGCTCATGGCTAGTTTGCTGGTTTTGCCACGGGGAAC